ATGTTCTCTAGTGTCTAACTCAGTTGCGTATGGAGGAACAGAACTGATAATTATTGTAACACAAGAATTATGTGCTATTCACAGCTAAGATGAGATTAATTCATTCAGTCTTTGGAAACCTCAGCAGATATTTGTATTAGGTCTTTAGGAGTGATGTCTTAGCCAGGCATGGCCTTTCCTTCCTCTTTCTTTCCCTCTCAGAAGGAAAACAACAGCACCTTCATTTTTACCATACCGTATCTTTCATAAGAGCAATGGGGACAGTTATAAAGCTTTCACATTGGAATTTAAGATTGGGAATGAAATAACCAAATAACTAACCGTGACCCCCCTGGAGAACTTCATTTCCTGTTGGTACTTGGTTTACACTGGAGAAACCAGTAATACAACATGGAGACTGAATTCATTGACTCTTTTTTCATACCTGTCTTCTCTGAAAAATGATGAGAGGCATTCAAAGTGTAGAGGTTTTATGCAGTGTCAATGGACATTCTTCATGTTTGGACAAAGAGCTGTCTTATATTTGAAGTGATTTCTTTCTGTCCATCTTTATAGGTTGACCAGTGTAATTTAAACAGGTAAAACTGTGACATGTAACATGGAAAAGCACTGTTATCCATAGAAAGGGAAGATGGTTTATACAGAAGACTAGATAACTGGTGACTGTAACTACACATGCCCTGCTGGTAAAACTTATAGGAGAAAGATAGTAGCTTTCAAGGAAGTATGTGGAAATCACATGGAGACTGTGAAGATAAAAAGGCTTTTTCTTTCTTGTTTCTTTGGGTGGTTGTCTGGAGAACTGTTCCTGAAGCAGTTTGTGAAATCACTTTTTCTCCTTTCAAATTCTTTCATAAAATCCTCTTCCAACTATGTGCTTACAATAGCTAACAGTTGTGTACTGGACTTATTTTTGCATTTAAATGATTATGTAACATTGTAATTCTGTAGGGCAGAACGTGTTTATTCCTACTGTGGTAGTACGGTAACTCTTGCAGGAACCTTAGTCTTACTTGTGAAAATGACTGTTAATACGCTATTCAAATGTTTACCAGAGAGAGTACTTATGATGGAAATGCTAAACCACTAGATAGCTATGGGGTGACAGCTCTTCAAATTCCTTGCTAAATTGTGAGGATAAGCTGCAGAGCTCAGATCTGAGTTTTTCTGAGATATGGATAATTCCTGGTTTTGCTCCTCTCTGTTATGGAATAAAAACCAATCTCAAATGTTTGTCTGAAGAATAAATAAAATGGCTATAGATCATGGAAACTATGGAAGTTCGCAAAAGCCTAAGTGAAATATTCATGTTGTTTGGTATCACATAGTATGTATGAGGATATAAGGCTTTACTAATATACTTTATATATGATACAAATGACTTCTCCCTGGATGATTACAATGGAGATTCGAGGAGCTCTTTAGAAGGTCATACTGTCTAAGGCACTCTCTTCAAAATCACTAAAGCTATAGTTCTATAGGACACAGACAGAAAACAATACTGCAAAGTCATTATAAATTTTTGCTTGCTTTAGTAACAGCTGAAAATAAAAACTGAACTTTTCCTTTGCCATCTGAATAGAGAAACATGCACTTCCAAACTGTGCTCTCTCTCAGAAGCAAGTCATTATTTGTACTTACATATTCAGAAGCACAAAAATGTACAAAGCAGAACTCATTGTTCTCAGGCTCTGTTATCTCCCTATCTCTGTTTGATGGCAAGAGGTATTGTAAATGTGCTAGTAAATGCACAGAATCACAGAATCACAGAATCACAGAATCACAGAATGGTTGAGGTTGGAAGGGACCTCTGGAGATCATCTAGTCCAACCTCCCTGCTCAAGCAGGGTCACCTAGAGCACATTGCCCAGGATCGCGTCCAGACGGGTTTTGAATATCTCCAGCGAAGGAGACTCCACAACCTCTCTGGGCAACCTGTGCCAGGGCTCAGTCACCCTCATGGTGAAGAAGTTTCTCCTCATGTTCAGATGGAACTTCCTGTGGTTCAGTTTCTGCCCGTTGCCTCTTGTCCTGTCCCTGGGCACCACGGAGAAGAGTCTGGCCTCATCCTCTTGACACTCCCCCTTCAGATACTTATACACGTTGATCAGATCCCCTCTCAATCTTCTCTTCTCCAGGCTGAACCGGCCCAGCTCTTGCAGTCTTTCCTCATAGGAGAGGTGCTCCAGTCCCCTGATCATCTTTGTAGCCCTCCGCTGGACTCTCTCCAGGAGCTCCATGTCTCTCTTGTACGGGGGAGCCCAGCACTGGACACAGGACTCCAGGTGGGGCCTCCCCAGGGCTGAGTAGAGGGGCAGGATCACCTCCCTCCACCTGCTGGCAACACTCTGCCTAATGCACCCCAGGATACCCTTGGCCTTCTTGGCCCCAAGGGCACGCTGCTGGCTCATGGTCAATGTGTTGTCCACCAGGACTCCCAGGTCCTGCTCTGCAGAGCTGCTTTCCAGCAGGTCAACCCCCAGCCTGTACTGGTGTATACTGAAATTCAGCATTGCTCAGCAAAACTGTTTTTTAATAATTTAAATCCACAAATGAGATATGGGGTAAATTCTCACTTTGATACATGTACATGTACATGTCCCGCTGATTTCATAAGGAGTTATGTGTGTGCATCAAGGGAAGAACACCCCTTAGGAAGAGCTTCTGGAAGATTGCGAATTGGTTTTGTTTAGGTATATCAGAAAGATTAATAAATAAAATAATCTGGGCCCTGATTCACCTATAATTTAAGCTTTGGTAAAGCAGGGGTAACTTAGTGGCTGCTAGTGGGGTAGAAAAGAGGAAAATCAGGCTAAGGATATTCCATAAAATATTAAGCAGATACAAACAGCAGTCCTCTGTCTATGATTATGCATAATGGGATGTGAATAATTATCTATACAATAGCTAATTTATATAATAATTGATGCAAACAAGTTGCTTAAAACACAGTTTCAAGAGATTTGTATTTTTCAGAACATATCTCTTATAAATACTTTCCCTTTCCTTTCTGTTTTATATTTTGTTTTACCCAGGTGGCATTTTACAGATATTAACCTGCAAACAAGGAGCCCAAATGCATTCTGTTGTGTTTCAGCACTGCTGTACTGGGGCCATCTTCGGATTGCCAGCACATAGATCACAATGAACCCACAGGATTCTTTGTCAGGACCTTTTAAACTCAGTGGAAGACCACTTGGATATTACAGCATAAAATGTATGTTTATGGACTGTGCCCATAACCAGAAACAGAGACCTGCTCATCACATGTGCAAAGAGGTAATTAGTCAAAAAACTTTATTTACAGTATATGGCAATAAGTGTGTTTACTGGTATGAAAGAATACAACTTTGCTTGCTGTTTTGCAAATACAGCTTTTTATTGTCCTTCAGTTACTTTCTGTTAAAAGTCTGCCTTTTGTCATCATAATTTTTTTAATATGTATGCAGCAAAAATGACTACTTTAAGCATCAATTTCCCAAACTTCAGTTTTCCTGCTGTAGCAGGCTAGATTTTTTTCACTCATTTTGCAGACTTTGCTGAAGGGAAATATATATTTTACTCCATTTTGAAAGATTATATTGATTTTTTTTTTATTTGGCAAAAAATTTTAGTAGACCTGAATTCTGCATCTTAAATTATGCAGCAATTCCTGTATTGCAATACTTTAGTTTCATTTTTAAGATATAAGTGTGAGAATACATTGTGCAAAATTTGTAATCTTTCAATAGACCTACTTTTCTATAGAATCATGGTAAATCCAAATTCAGATAGTCATTATGTAACGTGTTTCGGAAAAAGAAATGTTCCAGTAAATGTAGCAGAATTCAATTTTTTTCTGTAGAACAGTGTAACTTAAAATACTTTTTTTCACATCATTTGCACTGAGCTTCAATCTACTATAATATTTTAATGAAGGTTTACCATTCAGCTTTGAATGGTTATGATGCATATAAGTGTTTTTTTTTTCCTATTCCCCAGAACACTTTGGAACAGGAACATATGACTAGGCAGAGCAGATTGGTTATGACAGGCAACTCAGTAATAGGATCTGCAAGGCATCATGAAAGAATTATCAAATCAAATGGGAGTGAATTAGTCCCATAAGAAAAAGTTTGTTAATAGGGAAGCAAAAGCTTTTAGCTTTTACAGTAATATCTTCAATGAGCTGTAAAATAATGCATGAGAGAAAAAAAATCCCAGATCTCATAGCACTGACTATATTAATAATTAGCCATCACTAACTCCAGAGCGAGGCACAACTTGATAGGAATAATAAATCTGTACTATTTGGGTTAGTTATTTATACTTTGTAAAGGAAACACACCAGTGAGTGCTAGAGGTGTGAGAGCATCAGAGGAAGCTACAAATCTGGCAGTTGATTTCCAGGTCTGCTCTAGGCTCATTGTATAACCTTCCACTGACTTCTGCAATCCTGGGTAGGGACTTCAGCTCCTCAGCATTTCAGTTTTTCTCTTTAAAGTGGATGTTATGCTAACAGGCTGCTTATCCATTGCTTGGTTGAATATATAGGTATGAAAGGTGATTACGGGCATTACAGTTAGGGAGGATGACCCTGGGTCTCTGGTGCCTAGTCTGTGATGAGGTTTCCTCCGGAGTGTGTACCTCTGTGACAAGGGGCATCTCAATGGCCAGTGCTCCTGAACCATGCGCCCTCGAACTTTCCACCCTGAGTTTTGTCATCTGTAAAATGGGAGTGCTGGGAAATCCCTGCCTAAGGCCCTGCTGCAGTTGCTAGTTTGTACCTGTTGCTTTGCGCCCCTGAGATGTTACAGAGGGGCAAATGTGATTTATTTCAATAGCCAATTCCTTAAATCTAATAAGTTATTTAAAGAATAAATTAAAGCATTTAAAGAGCTCAAAGAATATGCAGACCAGGAGGAAACGTAATCCTGTTGCAAGGAGGAGACTGTCTACCGCTTTGCTCTCGCCACTGGGGCTCCACGCCCGCTCGCGGCACGGCCTGACGTCACCGCCCCATGGAGGAGTTCCTCCAGCGCGCCTGGGCCAAGCTGGTGAGTTGCGGCGGGCGCTAAAACTTCGCCTGATTTGCGGGTAACTGCAAGGATCCAGCTCGCGCCAGGCACCCCCGGGTGCAGCGCTTAGAAATGCCCCGCGGCAATTTTTCAGGGTTTTTAGGCAGCACTGTCATCCTTGGCGTCGATGAGCAGCATGGGCTGGGGCTTGTGACCTTTGCATGGGCTGTGGTATATTTTGGGGGGTGTTTTCTTCTCTTACAAGTTGCAGCCCTGTAATTATTGCTGAATAATACTCTGCTTTGTGAATGTATGAGCCCAGGTTTGACAGGCATATAGGAGGTGGCAGCGTGCTGTTTTGGGATTATTGGGGGGTTTGTAGAGGCTTTGAGATGCATCAAGTTGCATAGTTGAGTGGGGAAAAAATTATATGAGAAGTTACTGAAAAACTGCCCCATGTCACTTCTGTGATTTGAATGTCACTGAGAGCACTGGCTAAGTTTGGGTAAGTAAGACTTAACTGAGGAATCTGCAAAGGTAATCAAGGACCAGCTCCATAACTGTGTCTCATCTGCTGTAGGTAGTTAATATTGTGTTAGGAGTCATATAGACATATATGGACAGTTTTCAAATGAGTCTGTTGGTAGGGTTGTGCTGAAACTGCAGTGCATTTATATTGTTAACAGTGGCTGATTGTCTGGCCCCAAACAATACTTTTTTTTTCCCCTTTATGTGCAGTGCAAAAGTAGAATGTTTTTAAGACTGGGATGATTTTAGCCCATCTTGTTTCCAATCGTGAGGGATGATTATCTGAGCAAAACTCAGTTTCATGGTTGTTACCTTTAGTGGGCTGTCTGCACTCCTGCTAGCTATCCCGGTTCTCAGGAGTAGGTTCAGTTATGGGGCTAATCATGGGTTAATAAAACAATCCTTCTGAAGTCTGGTGGTTTTGCCATGTTTTTTATGGGACTTGAGACCTATATGCTTGCAGGGTGTTCCCCCTCCCCCCTTGGAAAGCTGCTATAGATAACTTCATTGTTGATATTTAGAATAGTAGGATCTTCCTGGTTTTTGTAGACCTGTTATGAATCTCTGTAGACTGAGCAATCATAAAACAAAGATGTTTTTTTTTCCTATCCACATCATGCTCTATATGTAATAATTTGTAAAGGATGGTTTGTTATACCAGCACTTGTTATCCTGTGGATTTTAGAAATCAGAGTGAAGGTACTTCCTTGAGGAATGGCAAAATTGAAGAGAAAATGAATCCCTTAATGGCTCCCTGAATATTTATCTTTGTGCTGGCATATGTTAGGGTAAACTTCAAGTGTGTCATCTTGATGACATGACAGATAAAATCTTCTACTATGGCTTTTACGGGAGTTTGTAAAGCATTTCCCTTATGTTTTTATGTAAACAATCTAAACTTCAGTAGCCCTGCTAAAAGATATTGCAAAATACAGTTGCAAATACTTAATACACTTTCACATCAGAACTTCTTATATTGTAACCTTTGAACTGGAGATTAGGTTTTGACAAGTTTTCTACTGGAGTATATTAAGTGTGGTCGTCTTTAATACTAGTAGAAATTAATTATATTATGCTAGTGGTCCCCTTTGTCCCATTAGTAAATGCCAAGCAATATGGGCATCTTGATTCTATTACTAAAAGCAAATACTGCATTAAACTTGCTGAATAGCTATTGATAATCAGAGAGGAGTTTTTTTGGAAAACTATAATTTGAAGAAGCCCATGAAAAATAGAAAATATGGCTTCTTAAATTCAGATGAAATGTGGAGCACAATAACTAAGCAGTAGACCTTTTTATACCTGCTGTGTGAGTAGGACTCCAGGTTTTGAACAGGTCTTCTGAACAGGAGAATCACAGGGGAGGTATCTTTCTGAATGTGATTTATGATTGTATGGTCATGTCAACTGAGGATGGCTGGGGAAGAAGAATCCTAGCACTAGAATGTTGAGAAAAAAATATAAATCTTATACCTTGACTTCTCTAATTTGCCCATTCACTTTGTACCCCACAGTATTCTGAAAAAGGTAAATGCAGAGTAGTTGAAGATTTGCATTCTGCTACACAAAAGGCTCATTAAATGGCTTCATTGCTTCTTGGTCAAGCCTTTTGTGGGGAATCTTTATCTGCTGATACAAGGTAGTAATGGACTGAGTTTAGGGCAAAGAAAGGGTACTGTCTTATTTGCCACTGATGTAAGGTAAAGCTGCCTGAAAACAGAACTATAGGGGAATGATACAGAATTAATAAGTTGTGTGTTTCTATGCTACTGCACCCACATCTGCAGAATACACTAAAGCCCTACAGTTGTATATCAGAGACCAGATGATGCTAGTCTTGCAGTGTGAGCATTTCAAACCATAGGTAATCTTATTAGGTTAAACTGATTACAGTGCACTGACTGCCTGAATACTACTCAGCATGAGTAAAGAAAATTTTTCTTTACTCATAAAAAAAAAAATTGCTCCAGACTGTGCAGGAGAACCTATTACTGCAAGTGCTTCATCATTCATTTGGATCTGGCTCCAGCCACAACCTTAATCAAGGCTATTTTTCTGCATGGAACAAATTTTAGCCTAGGAGTACACAACAAAAAGGCTGCGCTGCCATTCAGAGGGACCTGGACAGGCTGGAGAGTTGGGTGGAGAGGAACCTCCTGAAGTTCAACCAAGGCAAGTGCAGGGTCCTGCACCTGGGGAGGAATAACCCCATGCCCCAGGACAGGCTGGGGGCTGACCTGCTGGAGAGCAGCTCTGCCGAGAAGGACCTGGGAGTGCTGGTAGACAACAAGTTGACCATGAGCCAGCAGTGTGCCCTTGGGGCCAAGAAGGCCAAGGGTATCCTGGGCTGCATTAGGCAGAGTGTTGCCAGCAGGTGGAAGGAGGTGATCCTGCCCCTCTACTCAGCCCTGGTGAGGCCCCACCTGGAGTCCTGTGTCCAGTGCTGGGCTCCCCAGTGCAAGAGAGACATGGAGCTCCTGGAGAGAGTCCAGCGGAGGGCTACAAAGATGATGAGGGGACTGGAGCATCTCTCCTATGAGGAAAGGCTGAGGGAGCTGGGCCTGTTCAGCCTGGAGAAGAGAAGACTGAGGGGGGATCTGCTCAATGCATACAAGTATCTGAAGGGAGGGTGTCCAGAGGATGGGGCCAGACTCTTCTCAGTGGTGCCCAGGGACAGGGCGAGAGGCAACGGGCGTGAACAGAAACACAAGAAGGTCCCTCTGAGCATGAGGAAAAACTTCTTCACTGTGAGGGTGACAGAGCACTGGCACAGGTTGCCCAGAGGGGTGGTGGAGTCTCCTTCCCTGGAGATATTCAAAACCTGCCTGGACGCGATCCATTAGACTATTTTTTCTTTAAGAGCAATGAATTTTGGTTTTGTGACTTGTTGTGTAGTTGTAGAGCATTCTCAGTAATCTTAGATACAGGTTTTTTTTGTTTTTGTTTTTTTTAATTATGTATCATCTATGTAAAACTGAGGGGGAAAAACTTAGGAGGGAAAACATGGCAATGTAACAGGTGCTTTACTGAAAGATTGTATTTATGGTTCACTCCTGCAGTCTGTCCCTGCCCCCCCCCCCGCTCTTTCCTAAGACTAATAATAACATGAGAATAGCTATACTAGGTGACACCAAAGGTCCCTCTAAACCAGTGTTCTGTCTTGGATAAGGAAAGATTATAAGAGATAGAACACATATGCCTGCTGATCAGGTTTTGAAAGCTTAGCTCAAAATTTGTATCTGGACTAACATGTTAGCCACTGATGGCGCCATCTTCCATATATTTGTCTAATTCTCTTATGGAATCCATTTATACTTTGGGTTCCAGAAAACCATTGAGACAGTAAGTTTTGCCATTTTATCATGTGCTCTATGTGTATGGGACAAAATCCCTTTTTGTTTGTTTTAACCCAACTGCCTGACAATTTTAATGGGTGTTCTACTTTTTTTTTATGCCTTGAATAAGTATTTCTCATTCACTTTCTCCAATGGCATTTTGCAAGTTGTATCATATCTGCCTTCTCTTTCCCCAAGCATTGCCAGGCTAAGTTTTTCTAGTGCTCTTCCTCATATGAGCACTGTTCCATCACTCTGATCATCCTTGTGACTTTTTTTCTGGAAATTTTATAATTTTATTAATCCTTTTGAAGTTATGGAGGCGAGAACTGCCTGTGGTATTTAAGGCATGAGTGCACAATAGACTTATGCAGTAGCATAACAGTGTTTCAGTTTTGTTCCCTTTTCTTAAGAGTTCTTGATATTCTACTTATTTATTTTATTGTCAGAAAGCATTTTTCTGATGCTTTCAGGGTATTATCTGCAGTGAATGTGAGTTATCTTTTCTGCACGGTAATACCCAACTTAAAGCCCATCTGATTGTGTATGGTACCTAAATATTACAGGTGGGGTTGTTTTACTACGTTTTTGTTAGTTTGCACTTCTCGGCTCTCATTTTCATTTGCTCTTTTTTTATCTAGTCCCTCAGCATCATGAGTCCTTTTTGCAGCTCTCATAGGCAGCTTTAGATTTGATTCTCTTGAATAAGTTGGTATTGTCTGCAGCTTTTGTCACCTCGTTATTTGCCTGTGTTTCCTACTGGAAATAATATTATTTATGGATATGGAGAACAGCACTTATCCCAGCACATATTCTTGTGGAGGATTCTTTGCAGATATTTTTCCTTCATTGTGAAAACTGACCTTTTATTCGTATCCTTTGTTTCCTGCCTTAATTCTTTAGTAAACCATGAGAGGATTTCCCCCCCCCCTTTTTTTTTTCTTTGATGATTTTTGTTTCTTCACTAGTCTCTGGGAAACTTGTCAATAGTGTTTTTGGAGATCCAAGTACAATACATTGACTAGGTTGTCCTCTGTGTGCTTGTTGATTTATTCAAAGAACTTCAAAAGATTCTGTAGAAAAATGTCATGCTTCACAAAATCTTGCTGTCTATTCCCCAGAATAATATATTATCGATGTGTTTGGTGGAAGGTGTCTCTCTCTCGGTCAGACTGT